ATGAGGTATGTGGTTGTCTTTTGCAATGGCAGATGATTATTTAGTGGCTACGAACATTGTTTCTGATATTCTCTGTAAGTCATCGCACGATGAGCGTACGGATTTGTTTGAATGAATGGAAATCATTCGATTCGTTTCATCCTTTTCTGATTACAAAAATTTTTTGTTTCAGTTGGGTGAAGAATCATCTGATTGGAAAAAACTTTGCCAAAATCGTAAGGTGATCGCGGAATTTAAAAGACAACTTGACGAGCACGCTGCTAAAAGTTTGTGATTTAGTCTTTGTTTTATTCCTTTTATGTAAAAATTTTTAATTGATTTTTTTTTTGTTTGTCAGCAGTGCAACTACTTTGTCTCTTATTTATTAAACAAATTCATTTTGTTGGTTCAACGAAACACTTTCAGTCGTTTAGAGTAGTACGCAGTGAATTAGAGATTTTGTAAGTGCCCAGAAAGCACCGCTGTATGAAGCGTTTAATGTGATGGTTTTCGAAATGTTGAATAGTTCTTCGAAGATTTTTTGATATTGAAGAAGTCGATGTTAGCTGATTGTTGATGAGTATAGGGGAGGGAAGATCGCATTTTCAGGATGTTATATTCTGTTTTGCATGCTTACATGATACATTCCCAATGAACATTCCCAGCGTGGAAGTTTGCAAAAAACGAAATTGAAGTTTTTTGTGAAAAAGTTGGGATAAATTAGAGTGATGTGTTCTGGAATAGGATCTTATGCAGTTCATTCGATGCATTTGATCCCCAAAAGGACACAAACAATATTTGTTAACAGAACAAAAAATGAGATTAAAAATAAAGTGTTAAACGATTATTGATTTCATTTGTTGTGAAATGCAAGTTTTGAATTGTTTCATCGATATTCGATTTCAGATAAACTTCTGAAAGTGGAAATGCCGGGAAAGATTCATTTGTGTGATGAGGTGTGGACATCCGAAAGTGGTTTGCTGACTGAAGCGCTGAAATTGAAACGTAGACCACTTCAGGAGAAATATGAAGATATCATCAGTGACTTGTATCAAAACCATCGTTCTGGAGATCATAAATAGAGAGGGAGAAGGAAGGGTGGCACACTGAAATGCTTTTGGGTCATATATAGGGCTGGCAGCAGATCTAATAATTACCCGTCGATTGGTTAAACATGGAGTCCAATTGCATTTTCGAAATAATTTTGGGGTTTCTCATGGGTATTTTTTGTTGTTGTGAATAAGAAGGGCTAATGGAAACTGATGAGGAATTCTTTTTTTTGACTATTGAGCTTCTGGATGCTTTTGTCATCCAATTTATTCATTTGGTTAATTTGTTTGGCTTTATCTTTTTGATTTTCAAATGATATTCTTCCATTACGAACTGTTCTTTTAG